AGCCACCATTGGTGTACTCACTCAGTCAGAACATGAGGAGGTCAGCGCGAAATCGAAGAAGCTGTTGGACGAGTGGTCCAAATTGGAGCTGGGTTACCGCATCGGGAAGCGAAAGTTTGACCCCAACACATCTGCCACGAACTCCTTCCAAGAGAGGCGCAACATGGATCGTGAAGAGGATGTGACTGCGAAATCGACTCCTGACCCCCTTCAGAATGTCGAAATTCCCAAAGGACCTCGGAGCAACATTCCTCAACGCAACACACATTTCTTCAATGGCCCTCCACGCCAACGAAGACACCAGAACTTCAACGGTCATGGAGCATTACCACTCGGATGGTTTACAGCGACGGATCAGCGTGGGAACACGTACTTCTACAGCAAGAGTGGTGCTACGACCTGGCAACGTCCCACCAAGCCCGCTGACGCTCAAAAGGCGACGCCCAAGGCGTTGCAAGAGCAGCAGCTGCTTAAGAACATTATCGACCAAGTCACCAAGGAGCACACCCCCAGACCTTCGGCATCACAGACACCTCAACGCGCAGAGACTCCCGTTCAGGAGAATAAGCAGGAAAAGTGGCGCTCTCTTAGCATCGACAAACAGATGAAGATCTATGAGAACACGGTATGTATAACTTCGTTTGAGCTCCTAGTCACATGCTAATGTTCTCTGCAGCTCTTCCCCCACGTCAAGTATGTCGTCGATAAGTACAGACACAAGCTTCCTAAGGACGATCTAAAGCGACTCGGAAAGGATGTCTGCAAGAAACTTGTCTCCTCCGACTACAAGCGCAATCGGATCCAAGACCCCACGACTCCACTTGATCAGAAGCAGGCTAGAAAAGTCAAGGCGTACGTGAAGGACTTCTTGGACAAGGCTATTGTGAAGTTCAGACATCTCGAGAAGGAGAAGGCGACTCCCGAAAGCGACATAAAAAAGTCAAAGGACCCTGCCACTTCGACCAACAAGGAGATTGATTCACCAGCCGACGACGTTGTGCTGTCTGACAATGAGGACGGCGGATCGGTGGGTAGTCCTGAGCGCAAACGCAAGCGTGAGGAGGAGGCAGCTGAGTCCCGAACCCTGACTCCCTCAGACGAGCCATCTGTGAAGCGTCTGAGAGAGTTTGACGCGGATGGTGCAACACCACCGCCTCCACCCCCGCCGCCTCCTGCTGATCCGGCACCTACTGCTACCCCTGAGGAGCCGCTGTCAGAAGAACAAAGGGCTCTGAAGGAGCAGGAGGAGGCTCTCATGCGAGAGAACGAGGAGTCTGAACGCCTGGAAGAAGAAGAGCTTACCAAAGCTATGGATATTGGAAGCACCCTGAATGGTCACCCTCCGGTAAATGGGGTAGGAGCTGTCGATGAGTCCGCCATTGCCAACACCGGCAATGAAGTGGCTCGGCAGCAAGAGGTTATGGGTCACTAGACAAAGCCACGACACAACGCCTACCTCAGGTTTGGGACGTTGTCCTTGGAAGCTAGGGATACCCAGATTGTGCGACTTTCCAACGGAGGTGGGGCGTCAACTAAGTGAACAAGCCGAAGTGAAGGGAATCCTCTCGGCCTTGTATGTATAAGCAGGCATGTTGCATTTTTCTCGTTCTGGGAGGGAACCAGCAGACCCCCACCCAAACAAAAACAAAGGATCTCTCAGATACTTTGGTTTTTGTTTAGGGCGTTTTGTTACGATTATAATGTGGATATTTTCGGTCATCGACAAGAAAAAAGAACTGGTCGTGGCCAAGTGAAAAAGCTGTACCTAGGCCATTGTGTCGATTTTTTTTCTTCTTTCTTTTTTTCTTCACCGACACCAAACCTATGTTGGCTTTTGGGTGGAGTGGGAAGTATGGGAATAGGGCAGCATGGCATCATCCCCGATGGCGGGCGGGCATTGGGTTCATTTTTTTTCCCAACGAGATTTGGGCACCGTGACGACAAAAAGTCATACCAGGCAATTGGCGTTTTTGTACAAAAGGAAAAAAGGCAGCTAAGAAACATAACTTGAACTAGTAGTAATGGATGCGAATGGAGACCTCGACATTGAAGAATCACGTTTTCTAGTGTATGTTGCAAAGTGACATCTATTCACATTGAGGTCAGGAAAGATGGGGGGCATAAAATGGATATGAACATCAAAGTTATTGCTATTTACCCTTTCTCTCCCTTTGATTCAGAGTGCCTCAAGGCTTCTGTTTTGCTTTTACAAACCAGATAACTTTTCCCCCTATTCTCGAAGACCGACTTGACCATCCCATGATGAACGCCACGCCATATATGCCAAGTGCGAGATGCCAATGGGCGAATATATCCTCTCCTTCTGGACTTGGGCTTGCGCCTCTCTACCCAAGGGGGTTTAATCCTCACCGTCCTGAGGATCCAAGGGGAGTCGAGGTGGGTGAGAAACAAAAGCGAATCCCCAAATGTTGAGTTGCCTGTGGCTTTATATAGGGCCACCAAATTGGAACTCTCCTTCTCTGCCGATCCCAGGCATCCACCTTCCTCCACTAGGCCAGATACACTTCAGACGCTGCTTATGCCTTCCTTCTGCACTTTCATCACCCCTGAAGCGATTCGTCCACGGTCTCTCTCTACTGCCAGACAAAAGGTAGTCAGTTCCTCTTCTGATCTTCCATTCTTAGTCGATTACTGCCCGACCCATCCCCCCGTATCATCAAAGGGCTCCTCCATCTCCACCTCAGAAACCTCATCCTCACTATCACTCTCCTCCCCACCGCGCTTCCTCTTCTTCTTCTGGGAGGGCTGCACCTCGGGCGCCTCGTCCTTGCGCATAAACACAAAACTCCGCGCCGCCCTCTCCTCCCCCTTCCACGCCGCCCCGCTCGCCTCCCCCGTCTTCTTCTCCCGTATCACACCCGCCGTCCGCGCGTGCTTGTAACCCGGGTACGCGCGGGAATGAAACTTGAAGCTCTCCAGCGCCTGTAAGCCCGCATGGCGGCCGAGGTCCTTAACGTTCCAGAGCGTGTAGGGGTCGCCCTCGAATAGGGTCACGACGATGGTGCCCTTGGGCGCCAGGCTGGGGAGGGCCGAGGTGAAGAAGGCGACGAGGAGCTCCTGGTTGTAGCGGACTTGACGGTTGCGGTCGGTGGATTTGCCGCCGACGTGGGGGAAGTTGAAGAGGATGCGGTTGAAGATGCCCGTCTTTGTCGGGGCCGACATATGGAAGCCGCGGTGGTTCGGGGCGGATTTGCGGGTGAAGGGTTTCATGGAGCGGGCGTCGATGTTGTAGAGGACCCTGTTGTTGTTCTGGACGGGAGGTTTGTATTTCTCGTCGTCGTCTTCGTCGATTTCCTCCTCCTCCTCTTCCTCTTCTGCTTCTGGTGACTCGGCCTCGGTGGGTTCCTTGCTGTCGTTCTCGTCATCCTCGGCATCGCCCTCGCCCTCGCTCTTTGCTGCTTTTGACTTGGTAGGTTTTGTGGTAGCGGCGGTCCCGTTGATCTGCGCAATGTTCTCCGCGGCCTGGGGGTACTTCTCCAGCAGCTCCCGCTCGTTCTTTTCGAGGACCGTCGCAGTCAGGTTACGGCAGCCATGGTGTGTTGCAAGACTCGCTGCGAAGCTGAGGTCGCCCTCGCCGATCAGCAGGATGGCGTCTTCCTTGGAGAACGGTATCACAGGCTCCTGGTTCTGGTGGTACTGCTGTTGCGCCTTCTTCTTCTTGGCGTCGCTCTCGAGGGCTTGGGCGCTCTTTGGGTTCTTCTTCTTGTTGTTGTTCTTGCCATTGTTGTTTTGCGGTGCGCCTCCCGTCTTCTTCTTCACCGTGTCCACGAAGTGGCTCTTGTGGTTTATCGACCCGAGCTTCCGCTTCTTGGCCATGATGGGTGAGGGGTTGTGAGAGAAAGGCTGGTGGCTCGGCAGGGGAGGTATGCGGCGCAATGGGTGGCCGGGTTCACGGTCCGGGCCGTTTCTTGGTGTTCGTGGACTGGGTTAGGTTTTTCGAGGTGACGTCCGGCGTACGGCGTGTATCGCGGTGCAAAGTGGGATGTGGTGGTCGGCGGCGGTGCTGTTGCTACCCGTGTCGGCGCCGGGGGGTGGGAAGGGTGTGTAAGGTATGTACCCCACGCTCTGGTTGTACCGCGAGCGAGAAACTTTTTTTTTTTGGCCCTGCTCTTCCCGGGGCTCTCTTTCTGCCGTGTCTTTTGACTTTTTTGCGACGCTACGGCGGTGAGCACACATGGCGCTCTCCGGCGGCTCGGGAATAGACGAGGTTCAGCCGTGGAACCCTTCGCTTTTTTTTCAAGCTCGTCAAGTGTCAGTGGCCTCCTTAGAAACCGACCCCTAGTACGGGGGAGTGGATTGGGCGACACCGGGTTATGGATAACCACAGGGGGGGCGGATGAGAAAGAGGGCGGCGGGAGACGGGACCTGAGAAGGTATCCGGTACATTTGGTGCGCGGGAGGAAGAGTGCGCTGTTCAGGCGCCAGGGGACTCGTGGGCCATGCGCACCCCGGGCGTGCGCCGTGAGATGGATCTTCAAGTTTGCAGGTGCTGCAGGGAGGAGCGGGCGAGGAGCTGACTGCCTCGGATCTATCGAACTTGGAAGACACCTCGTCGTACTTCATGGCAGTATGGCTCTTGATAGCACTGAGGGCTGGCCCGGACCCATCTCTGTGCGATCTATTGAACTCATTGCTTTTGGATGCATGTTTTGGGGTGAGGTGTCTGATGGTGGTTGTTGTTCGTCCCTTCTTCTTAGCGTGGCCCTTATGAGCTAAGTGGGCCGATACTTGGATGAATGAGGCTTACCTGGCACTCCCGAACCTTGAGCAACTGGCGGCTTGCTGTGTACTGAGTACGAATAGTAGGTATCGCAGACGTAAGGGAGGCGAGCATGCCAGTACTATGACTGTGTACAACCCTCCAGAAGAGGATTACTATCATTTGCTGGTCGCCATAAGATCGTGGGTAACGGAGCGCGTATAGAACAACCGCGTGCTTGCTTCAATATCTACGTAATTGAATTTCGTTTATTGTTGCATCATGCCCAGAACACTCGTCGGTGAGCCAGCCATACCAGCCACAGAACAACAACACAAAGCTGCACCTCAACGGGTCCTGGAAAAGAACTTGCAGCCGTCCGGCTGGAGCTCGGGATCTGGTTCAACAACAGGCCCACCCGGACGGGACCAGGACCTGTAAAAGTCGCCCCGTCCGACAGGCTGTCCGACTCGTCCGAACAGCCTGAGGTACCCGAGATTGAGGCAAAAATATCTGCTTTGCCCAGTTTGATAGAGACGACACTGCTCAGAAACAGTATGAAAAATCTATACCAATGGAATATGTGTGGAGCAAGGAAGATGAGCGTATGAAAAATACTCTTTATGTTTGTTGCGCTTTTATCCAATGTCGGATGGCATTTACAAAGCGGCTTCGTCATTTAATAATATTTAGAGCCACTTGGACTGGGTCAGGCAGGAAGGAGACGCACATGGTTGATAAGGAGCAGAAGTCGGGGGCCGACCGACCCCATTGCTGTCATCTCCAGGTCGTCGTCGTGATGTCGGACGCGCTTGAGAAATGCTGATCCTGCTCAGAATGACCGGCTGGACGTTTGGGAGAAGCGGACAAGAAGGCACGCCTCGGTCTATGGATATTTGGGTACGCACAGAGTAGGTAATCATACACGTTCAGAAAAGCCAGCACACATTGGGAACACAAACGCAGAAACAGGCAGCCATATGAGCAAGGTAGGTATTCACCGGTGCAAGCAGGTTCTATTAGTTGGGACAGTGAGACCGCAGGCATTCATCATTGCTCAAAGATGCAATTCTGGCATGCTCGCCTGTTGGCCTGCCAAGTCGCAAATGCCCGTTACGAAGACCCGAGCGAGCCAGCTCTTAGAAAAAAGGCTTACACTCAGATACGCGCAAGGCACAGAGTGAGGTACGCGGTAAAGTACATGACAGCACCATGGACGGCCAGATGGCAGAATCGTAATGTACCGGGTACCTCTTGCCCTTTTTTTGCCAACAGGGGTAGAAGGCTATTTCCGGTCGTCGGATTTTCTGGGCCTCCGGACGAATCAGGGCGCGGCAAATCGTGCCTACTCCTACCAGATCGGTGTAAGTGTGTGCAGCACAGTGCTGGGCTGGGCCTTGCCTTCCGCCTCGCTGTAGCAGGGTGGTCACGTCTGTTCCTGCCTCTGCTGCGCTCCGCCTGGTATTATTTGCAAAAGGCAGGAAGGGGAAAAAAGCGAAGCAATCTTCGTTCCACGCTCGCAATTCAACGCCTCATTCACGCTGGCTCACTCTTACAGCCATCTCTGCGCACGAGTCTCATCTTCGCCCTGATCCCATTTATCCCCCTCTCAAGCTGGTCTCTCATTGAGAAATTCCGCTCGCTGCAGAGAGAGGCCAGCCGGCTGTCATTTTCTTAGCCCACACCACTACCATCCCCGTCCAACCCACACACCTTGGTCCTGTTCTCCGAACATCCAACAACCTACAGACATCTTCAAGTCAAAGCACTTTCTTGACCCCGAGCAATCGCGCCTGCTCACATCTTTTCTGAGATTGACCGAGAATTCTTCGGCCGCTTCATATCTCAGTTTTCCAACCCGTACCGCGCCCCTTACCTAACTCTACCCATCTCACAGACGCCCCCATCTCATTACACCATACCCGCTCTCACTTTTGCCTCCACATACCCCCATTTCCCCCGTCTTCACGTCTCTTTCATGAACGGCCATCGCCATCATGTCAGACGTTGAGACACCGGAGCAGTCTTTTTCGACTCCGACGCCACAGCTTACCCCCAAGGCCAAGGGCCGCGGTAGAGGCCGGGGCAGAAAAGCTGTCGCGCCTAAGAAGGAGCCTCCCAAACCCGCAGCCACAGCCGGCACTGGTCGACGCGGCCGCTTCAAGCAGTTCTCAGACGACAAAGTCCAGGCAAATTATGAACGGCAACGCGAGCTCAAGGCACAGTACGCGGCTCTCGCTAATGCCGTAAAGCCAGCGCTACAAGATCTGGCATCGCGCTCTATCGACACACTCACAAATGACAAGGACTACCACAAAACGGTGCCGGAATTCAAAGTCATCGAGGACAATCTCGGCGCTCGCTTTGAAAGATCCCTCCTTTACTTGGAGAACAAACTGGCGACTGCCGCCAGAACCGTCTTCAAGTCCAAACATGCCAAGCTCGGCGCCGTTCGCGATATTTTCAAGGTTCGTGAGGCCCCGACTGATATGTCATGTTTTTTTCCCTCTCCCCTGGTCCTCTGCTAACGTCACCCGCGGCATTAGAACGGAGTTGAAGATGCGGAAGACAGATTTTTGGATGCGCAGCTTCATCGCCTCAACCTTCTGGAATACCTCCATGATCATGGTCTTCCTATTGACGTAAGTTCATTCTGTTCTTCATTCTGTTTTTTTCTGCGTGTCTCGGTTATTCACACTGGCCTCAGCTCGTCGATGCCGGCTGGAATTATAAGCAAATTTCGGACAAGGAAGCCCAAGAATTCGGCCTCTATGAAGTCTACGTTGACGGAGCACTCGTTCCCTATCCTCAACTCGTCGAAGGCACCGAAGCCTATGCCCTGAGACAGGCTGCTTGGGCGGAGCCACAGACAGCGAAGGAGACTTTGGCGCCGCCTTCCGCGGCAGCGACTGGAGGACGAATCAGCAAGCGCAAAGCCAACCAACAACCAGATGGCCAGCCGGCCTCCAAGAGGTCTGCTGCCGATGTCGCGCCCGTTCGCCACATTGCTGGTATCATGTCGGCTCAGCATGCTCCCATTGAAGACGAATCGAATGAGAGCACGCCGGTACCTGAGGGTCCGTTGACCGCTGATCAGAGAGAGCCCGCCTTGCCAGCAAAGGCTTCAGAGCCAGATGAATACGGTTGCAGACAAGTCAATCGGCCGACAGCCAAGAATGGAGCGAGTATCGCGAATCGCCTCATTGCTCCTCCATCGTTCCAGTTCGACGACGACGAGATTGGATTCCGTGATTCCACCAACTCCCCTAGGCATGGAGCCACGCTCGCTAAGCGTGGAAAGTATCTTGGCAAGCCAAACTCGAACACCTGGCACTTTGATCCTCTGCTTGCTCGTTGGGATGCTAGAGACCTCGACGAAGAAGACTACGACTTGGAACTTGTCCAGAAGCACGGCACTCATCCCCGATTGGGTTGCTTCCTGCCCACGAGCAAAAATGACTCTGAGCCGCCAAAGCCAGAAGCAGAGCCGATGCATCCTACTGTTTTCCTTACTCCCTCAGGCAAGACCATCCACGCATCTCGTGTCGTCCCCGTTGCAAAGGTCGAGATTGCTCTAGCCGACAAGCCATACTCGGAAAGAATGGGTGCGATTCTCTCTTCCATCTGTGAAAAGGAAGACATCTCTCCCGAAGACATTGAGGGACCTGAGCTTAAGGCTCTTAAGGAAATCTCTGAAGAATATGCCGAGCAAAGACTCATCGCCGAGTCTATCAAGGAGTCCGAGCCCGCGAGTCTGGAGGATACGCCTGCCACTTCGCCCCTCCCTATGAACGACTCTGCCCTCAATATTGCTGGGTTGGAGGAGCTCGTCGTGGCTGCGGAAGCCGTCGAGGCGGAGGCCAAGGTCTTGGGATCTGTCGAAGAGAAGCCGGTGATCCTGCCCGCTCCGACCCCAGTCAGACCTGCTACCCGTGCTTATGACGCTATTCGCGACATATTTGGAGGGTCCGAATCAGCTGCCGTTGAGCCTCCAGCTCCCGTCCTGGTGCCGGAGCCTATTGACACTACTGCGCTCGCAATCCTCGCAGATGCGTCTACTTCCACCTACCCTCCCCAGCCCGTCGACCTTGTCATGGCCGATGCTCCCATCAGCCAACCCATTCCAGTTGACGGTCCTCCACCTCCCCATTCCCATCATCATCACATCGACTCCGGTTATGTGGTTCAGCCCATTCCCGCTGAGTTCCGCATCCAGGCTGCACCTTCAAACGATAGTGTCGGCTGGATTGAACCACGAATCGCTTCACCAGGTGTCGACGGTCGAATTCACCAATCTATCGAAACTCCGTCGATGAGAGATCCGTACTCGAACCAATTACCCCCTGCTCGACCAGTCGAGATGTCTCAAATGAGGTCCTCGATTGACGCCACCAATGATACCCGCCGGCACTCCATGTACCACGAGCACAGCGCTCCTTCGGCCTACAACGAGCAGCACTTGCCTCATCCGCATAACCAGCAACACCTGCCGCAAGCAGACCCCATGATCGACCCGCGTCTTTACTCTGCGCCGATGGACGCGTCGGCCGCACATCATGAATATCAACAACAGGCTTACGGTCAGAGCCAGCAGGGCTACCAATTGCCCAGCATGCCTATGCAAGGAGGACCCATGGCACAAGCCTCTCCCCAGCTGCAACAATCTGGCTCCACATCTCGTATGCCATTCACGAACCCTTCTCAGGACAGGAGCTCGCCGCTTCCGCCCTTGCGACCGTCCCGTGGCCGCAAGAGTGCTCCCGCTGCACCAGAGCAGGGTGTTCAGATCGAGCAACATCAAATTCAGCAGCAGCAACAGCAACAGCAGCAGCAGCAACAACAGCCGCCGCCGCCACCTTATATGAGCACCAATAGCGGCTCGTTCTACCCCCCTGGTCCACCCAGGCCATACCACAATGGATACACACAGGAGCAGCCAGGTTTGCCGCCCATGATGAGCCAGTACCCACCCTACACAGGCTCGCAACCTCCACCACCACCTTTGCAGCAGCAGCAACAGCAGCAACCGCCGCCTTATGGACATCCAGGCATGTCTCCCACTTACTCATCCATTGCCCCGGCACAAAGCCCTCCGAATCTTCAGTTCGTTCCGCAGCAACCCGGCGAACCGTCTAGAAGCCGGGCTGGAAGTGGCTCATCGACTCCAAGTGCACAGGGAAACAGCAAATACCCCAAGCTGGCCCCCGCCCCCCTGCCTGCTCATAGAGTAGGCTGGCCTCAAGGCCCTGAACTGCGAACCGTTCAGTATGACTACAAGGAAAACATCAAAGACTATGCGCCTACGGAACCCCCTCCGCGTCGCGGCCCTGTCCAAATTCGGGGATGGAACATAAACAATAATAGGATCCAGCGCCAGAAGACAGATGAGAACGGCGACGAGCGACGCGGGTCCCGCTAGGAGCAGATTCTCACGTTGCCAGAGCTGAACCCAAGTAAGGAGGGTTTAACAGGCGCGGGAGTGAAGAAGCCGGCTGTCAAGAAGCCAGCCGCTAAGAAGACAGCTGCCAGGAAGACGACTACGAAGAAGGCGGTCGCTAAGAAGACGACTGCCAATAAGCCAGGTCCCAAGACAACCTGAATGGAATCCGAGAATCGTGTTACAAGCGGATCGGAACAAGCGAAAAGAGCATGTATTATTATCACATCACTTTGGACATT